AGGGGTGTCTGTTGCTTATTCTAACTTGGGGAAATTGGTGGGGTTTATATATCTGTGAGCTAAGTGACTAAGCGACTGAGCGACTAAGCAACTAAGCGACTAAGCGACTATATAGTTAAGCGACTAAGCGACTAAACGACTGAGCGACTAAGCGACTGAGCGCCATGTTAATAATAATACAAGATAATAATAATAATATTTTAAGATAATAATTAATAAATAATAAATAATAAAATAATAACTAATAATTAATTCGTTCTATAACAATAGTGTATTTTTCTTTTTTTTTCATTCCATTTGTACTACTTCTTGATAGAGGTAGTTTCTTCTTTGTTGGCCCTCAGGCTTTTCTCTTTGATTTTCTTTTTTACATTTCACTGTACCCCTTTTATTTTGTCCTTTAAATTCCCCTTTGTTCTATTTGTTTTTTTTTTTAGTTAGTTAATTTTTCGTTTTGTTTTCTTGGTATTATCGATGGTTTTGTATTGGATATAAGATCATTACTTTCTTTTGCTCTTGGTAAAGAAAGAGAATATAAAGGGAAAAGCTTTGACGGGCTGACAAAGTTTATCTAACTTGTATACAGGTTGGTGTGACAAGTCACATTTGGGTACGTTAATCACAGCCAGGTGATGTCAGGCTCGCAATCGCTAGACGCCTTTTATGGTTATAAATGATAATATATTGTTCGAGAGTTTAATTCTCACCTAAATATAGTCTTAAATAAATTGAACACTGGCAAGACTGTCAAAGAATTAAAAAAAAAAACCTTTAGGTAAACTACTTAAATAAACATTCTAAAGTTATATATGTGGCTATATATTTGTATTTGTGTTTTTGTGAATCTATATAATCAAAAGTAAATTGCTCAATAAAATTTTAGTAAACAGATATTACTTTTGAGATAAAAAAAAAAAAAAAAAAAAAACTACAGTAGCTATTAATTAATATATAGTGTTTTAAGTAAAAAAGCTTTATGCCTTCAAAACTCTTCTCAAATCCAACTCTAACATAAAAATTTGGGGCAAAAATTTTATATACAAACATAAAAACTTAAAAAATATAAAACCACCATAGGTGCATTTTATAAATATATTTATAGCATTCCACGGCCTGTAGACATTATGATATTTTATAATGACGTAACGCCATGAAAATAATAAAAATTAATTCATTTACATTACTTCATCGATGAAAAAATGGTACGGGCATAGATATGTCAGATATTCCACGGTGTGCCATGACATCACATCACGTATTACCACGACTTCGCCATGCTAATATACGATATCCGCGGAATGTCTATCACGTATTTAACATATATTTATATATTTTATATATATTTAATACAGTATTTGTGTAATATATTTTTTTGGCTAATAAAATTTAAAGCGAAGTTAAAAGGTTAGGGTTAGAATTAAAGATTTTTTGAGACGCTAAGTATTTTTACTAGTTTTTGAGATAACTATGGTGTTTAACATCTATCGCTATGATTATTCGTAATTAATAAATTTACAATCAATCATAGACAAAATTTGATTTATCAGTTATAAGTTTATAAATTTGCACCAAATCAATCATAGACAAATTTTGGTTCAGATCATCTTTTTTTGATCGTAATCCACGAGTTGACTACAGGTTGGCACGCAGGTTAACCACCTGTGTCCACCTGGCACGACCAAGGCCTGATATATGATTAAACTTACCCGGGTCCAACCTCTGAATAAAACAATAATGCGATAAATCAAATTTCTTTTAAATAAGTATGGTAATTTTAAATACTTGTAATTTTATTTTTTATTATTTTCTTTATTTTCTTTTTTTTTATTTTTTATTTTTTATTTATTTTTTGTTTCTTTTTAATTGCAGATACGTAAAGGTTTTAAAAGTTTACTATAATATATAACGATAATAAATAATTTTGTAAAACTTATTTAACAGGGTTAAAAAAATTTTAAGTTGAAACACAATTCACAATTGCTAAGACAAATTACACTGTGATAAAACCATTTATTGAAAACAATTAAAGCTATGGCGATAACGCACCAGTAAAATTTATTTAAATATTTATATTTATCTAACACTAGTCATAGTATATAGATATAAAACGTAACTTGTAACACAATAATAGATATATAAGGTTTAAATAATCCATATAAGTCGAAATAGATAAAAATTAAGTTAAATGAAATAGTTATTAACTCTTTTGCATAACCATAAGTTGCAAAAAAAAACGATTAAAATTGGGGAGATCGAAAAAAAAGGCGCATGTTAAATTGTTCCCAAATTTAAATTTTATTTTTTTTGATGATAATTTATCAGATAACTATCTTAATGTTATGGTTTCTCAATCATGATACCATAACACGAGAACATAACAGTCAAGTAAATAAAGTTAATTAAATTCCCATAGAAAGAACCGACCTACATTTTGTGTATCTTGTGTATTGTTTTTATCCACACAGACTTATCAAAAAACAACCTAGCAGCCCTTGTTAGACAAGTGTCTTTCGCATGCATATTATCTAAATAAGGAGTGATAATTTCGGTGTATAAAAAAAACTAAAAAGTCCGTGAAGGAGAAGCTTAAAGAATTAATAGAAGAATAATAGAAAATAATAGAAAGTAAAATAAGCATGATTGATAATCTGACTAATGCAGTAACGGTAATGTAAAAATCAATTAATATTTTTTAGGTTTTATTTTGAAATTGAAAAGCTGCGAAATTTAATAATCATAAAAATCCAACGCTAACAAAGTAAATATAACTAAAGGGGAATTTTATACAAAGTTTCGGAGTTTCTACCACACACACACACGTACACCCTAACAAAGTAACAATCATCATAACGATAAGGGTAGCCAAGGATAAATGTTACATAACTAATAAAATTTTATCTTATAAGTACGTATACCAACCGTATAACCTTTATATAGTGTACTTTAGGGGCGCCTTATGATCAAATGTAGATACAGTATGCACCTTGAATCTAGAGAAAGCGTGCATTTTTGTCACTATATGCACGGGACCAAGCACTTAGAGGGGTTTTTACATATCGATATCGTTATGATAATATTATGATAATAAAAAGTTTACACAACCCCTAAGATAAAAAAAATATTACATAATATCCGTCACTGCCTTAATAAGTTTGTTTAACTTAACGTTAATAAATTTGTGAATAATTTATGCACTATTCACAAATATATACGTACTCATGATAATTGAGAGGGTAAGGGTCAGGGTCAACGTAGGTATGTGCTGTACGTATGTACTGTACATACGTATATACTGTAATATTTGGTCTATCACTATGATAAAATTTTGACGATTGAGATTCAGATGTTATAGATGGAGAGATCTAACGCTAAGTATAATGGTAAAGTCATTGACCGATTAAAACTAGAACCAGTCAAAACGATAAAATTTTTCTGGTTTTACCTGATATGTTTCGTTTAAAAAAGTTCCAATCGCTTTTATTTATAATATATATATATGCAATCATCACTTAATAAGTGTATAGAATGAATATAAAATCTGGAATATTTACCACGCTATTTAATTCAATTACGCCTTTTAGATCAGGAAATCGTCAAGATCCGAGGATATATTTAGAAACTTCAATCCGACACAAGAACAAAAATGGTATATGTAAATAATGGCACGCATGTGCGCAAAAAAGCGGCGGTAATCAAGTAATACATATATAGTAAAAAAGTTAGTTTTTATACAGTATAACCGAGCTAAAACACCGAACTAATAACAAGACACATCAAACAAACCACTAACAAGTTGCGCCGGGTCTTATGATTAATATAAAGAAAAAATATAAATACCCTTTAAATCTAATCATGTCCCACGTTTTGGAGCTTCTAGGTCGCTTTGTGTTCTTCATTTATCTAAGCTCTTGTAGTTCCAAAACATAAAAAACTCTCTTTAAAAGTATCGCAGTTCCTCAGTACTTTAAAAAGTATATAAAGAGAAGTTTTTTTTTGAGAAAGCTATCACAGTAAATAATTTTCAAAAATTGTTAATTATATATATATATATATTGTACATATTTGCTAACTATACCCGTTCGATAAAAAAAAAAAAAAACTTTTTTTATTAGTATATCAAATATTTGTATAGATTTTGTCTCTCTATGTTTACATTTCGAATAACAACTACTCTATTATAATATACGACTACTTAAGATTGAATTCACGAACAAACCGAAAATAACTCAAGCCATTCTTTTTTAAGATAATAAAAATGGAGCAGAAGGATAGAGCATACTATTTGAGAGTATCTCAATTAGTAATGGTATTTTTGATAATTATACTAGGTAATGTCTTTTCTAAATGTGAATGTTCATATACTTTCATACGCTTATATACGTTTTTTTGATCCATCTTAAACAGAATTTGTTCAGGCTGTAGGATTCGCTAAAAATTATCGTGACACACCGTAGGTGTTAATGTTTCATTACTACAAAGTTGGTGCCTTGATCTGTTTTATTCTTTGGCTCATAACTTGCACGCACGTACATGTCAGTTTGACTAAAGAATTTATCAATTATTATTAGTTTTTGAAATTTTTTTTTTTTTATTCTTAGAACACACTCTACAGTAATATATTATTGGATGGCTACAGTATTTTCGTTTTTACTCTTGGGTAAATTTATACTTAATGTTAAAGTCGTTAATGTTAGAAATTAATAGTTAAAATTAACGTTTAATACAAATTTTACTTAGGTCACCTTTTAATACGATTTCAACCACGATGGAAACATGGTCCAAATAAAGATGAAGTGTTGTTTGATGGGTTGGTTTAAAATTTACATTTTTATAATTTATAATTTTAATTTATCATCATTAATGGTTTCTTTTTTCCGGTTTCAATTTTTATAGCCTTTTGCTTACTATCTGGTTTTCATTGAGTATGTCTTTTTTCACATTTCATTTTTAATATCTGTTCCACTCATTTATTAACTTTTCAAAATTTTTTTGATTAAAGTTTTGCAAGACATCTTACCTGTAGTGAAAGGCAACTCTATGTCATGTAATGCAACTGACACATCCGCCCTCACCCGTTGCAATCTGTTCATTACAAGCTTTGCTTTCACCTTATTTTTATTTATTACGCTCCCATTTTCGCTTCAAATTTCTCTCTCTCGATGGAGAAACAAACAAATCTCTTCTTCTATACCAATGGGCTCTGTAAATCAACAGCAACAACAAACGACTCCACAAAGATCCCCTTCATACGTGATGCAGGAGGTTGTACTTAAAGATGGTCAACCCGCATTAGTCTTTCACAGTAATGGGGATAAACGAAGTAGTAGAAGGGCGAGTTTGTATAATCATCAACGAACTAATAGTAATGGTTCAAGTTCTCCGAAAGATACTCATCAACGAACTAATAGTAATGGTTCAAGTTCTCCGAAAGATACTGAGTTTACCAAAAATGCCAGAAGCGTTGAAAACCATGTGACTGGTGAAAATGGAAATGTCAAGAATGTTGTTAATTGATTTTTGTTAATTTGCAATTACTAGGATTGCGAATTACCTTTATAATTAATTTTCATGGAAGGAATAAATGTCTTGTTTATGCTCTAATTTTTAATTTTGAAATACAATTGCATTTTTAGTAAATTTATTATGCTAAAAGTTATGTTTACAATAACTTTTTTGTTTATTTATTTTTTTGTACAATTATCTCTCTTTTTTAGTTTTTTTTTTTTTTGCATATATACTGGCATTTTTTTGTGCTTTGCTTTTGGGATTTTTTGTAATATTCCTATATTGTTTAGCACCTATTTTAACTAGCATTTATTGCATTTACCTGCATTTAATATTTGATCTAACATAGCGCGTACTTTATAATTTTAAAGTTATTCTCGCGTAATTTAAAGAGACGACAATTTTCTTAAAAAAAAAAAAAAAAAAAAAAAAAAAGCATCTCTTTTCTACTAACCTTATCGTGATTAGTAAATTTAGCAAATTTAGTAATTTAGTAGTTGTTTTTTTTATTAAATACTGAAATATTAAATATTGTTTGTTTAGCCTAAAAAAATATCTGATCTCTTCTATTATAAGATATATAATGGTTAATGATGTAATATATAATATGGGTTGATTTAAATTACTCCAAATTTTTTAATCGCACTCGGAAGATCGTAACATATGATGATGGGGTTTTATTAAAAGACCGATTAGGATGCAACTTAAAAATATAGTCTAATCATTGAATATCAATTTCAGATATACATGTATACTACTATATATACTATATATATTATATATGTGTAACTTTTTTTTGCTACATATAATGCAATTATTCATATATAGGATTTACATGTTACTTATTAAATCTTGCGATTGATAAAATAGCAATTCAAAAGGCTGAGAATACAGAAGTAGACATATACCAAAGACCCGAAAATTTTTGGAAATAAAATTTCAAATTTTTGCATTTAATTCAAATTAGAGGCCTGCCTTGGGTACACAGCCCGGTCCTGCCCGCATGATGAGCCGGGCCGAACCGCGCTTATAACTAAACTTTAAAATTATATAAGTCGGGCCGATCCAAATTTAATTATATATATATAATATACAGTATTATATATATATATATATTGTATATACTGTATATTGTATTAAACTAAACCTTTTGTTTATTACTATATAAGCCTTTTTGTTTATTAGAAATTTATAGTTTATAAATTTTTTGTATTGTAGTTAAAAGCTTTTTATTAAAAATTTTTTGTTTATTAAAAGTTTTTTTTTGTTTATTATAAAATTTTTTAAAGTTTTTTATATAATTAAAATTTTTATTTATTATAAAGTAATAATTTTATTAAATTGTAATATATTGTATCTATTTAAATATTTAAAAAATTTTATTTATAAGATAAATACTAACTTGTTATTTTAAATAATTAAAAATCAAGTATTATATTTTTATTACAATAAAAAGATTTGTTTTAAACAGTTTTGTCTTTATTTACTTGTAAATTAGCATTATAAAACAGTAACAGGCTAATATATACTACATTATATATAAATATTTTAATTAATAAAAACTTACTAAGCAAAAAATATAGTATCTAATATAATTTGCTATAACTTCTATTTGCTTCTTTTAAATTTTTAACTTGCTAAAAATTTTGTATATAAAATATATATATCTTTTGATAGTTTACTAATTATTATATAGGCTAATACAAAAATATAAATATACTAAGACTAAAATTAAAATTAAAGAATTAGTATTTTCATACTTCTTTTTTAGTAGTTTTATACTTTATATAGATTACTTATTTTAAAACTTTTATCAAAGGTATCTCAAACAATCACTAAGTAAAATTCAATGAACTTTTTTTTTTGAATTCTATATATTCATAATATTTATATAAAAAAAATTATTGTTGTCAAGATATTTTTAATTAAAGTTATACATAATTTGTTATAGCTACTATATATTGCCAAAAATATAGTAAGCTACTGTATCTTCAAAAATAATAGTTCACTGACAATTAATTCACAAACAGGTTTATTTTACTAACAATTATTTTACTAATAGCTTATCTTACTGACAAGTATTTTTTATAAATTATACTAAACTTAAATTTAATTCTAACTTGACACTAATAATAGCCAGAATTACTTTGTTAGTAAAATATTGTTGGTAAAATAATTGTTAGTAAAATAAACTTGTTTGTGAATTAATTGTTAGTGAATTAAGCTATTGGTAAAGTAATTGTTGGTAAAATGTATATCATCCAAAAATAAACTACTTCTCTTTTCTTGAAGAAAAAATATAAGAAACTTTTTGTTCCAAAAATAAGCTATCTTAATAATTTTTTAAAATTCATAAATAGTTTTTATATATAAAGTCAAAAAATTCTACCAAGTAAATTAATAAAAGTCAATTAATAAAGGTTGTTTAGAATATAAAAATATACATATATTAAAAGTTTTAAGCAAATCAGAGAACTTTTTACTAAAATGTTTTTGCATTTTATGTTTGAATATAAAATGCAAAAACATCTTAATAAAAAGTTCTCTGATTTGCTTGAAACTTTTAAAATATATGTATTTTTATGTTCTAAACAACTTTTATTAATTGCCTTTTATTGATTTACTTAGTAGGATTTTTTGACTTTATATATAGAAACTACTTATAGATTTTAAAAAATAATAAAAATTAATTTTTTGAAATTTTACCTGAAAATAAGCTACCCATGATTTTGTGTTACTTTTTGCCCAAAAAAAGTAGCTTATTTTCGGAAACCTATAGTAATATTTAAAATTTTTCTAAACTTTTCATCAAAGCAATCTTGACAATTAACTAATAAAATTCAATATATTGGTGAATTTGCAGAATTGGGCCTTAATAAAACCAGTATAACAAATATTTGATTTAATTGGTTAAAAAAATATAAACTAGTAAACAATATGCATAACATAAATCATTTTATAAATTTGGATATTTTATATGATTGGTTAATTTTTGTCAATTAACTTGTAATTACTTATGATAATTAATCAATTAATATATATAATTTTTAAAAAGAAAATTTCGTTTAAAGCTTACAAAGAATTTATCACATAATTTTTTAAAAAAACTTTACTTAAAGCTTACAAAAAATTTATTATATAAAATTAGAAAACAGATAAATATACTGTATGTAAAGTAAAATACTGTAAGTATAATGTTTGTTATTAAAAACTTAAATCTATTAAGGAGTTAATATACAAATAATTATTAGCAAAATTATTTTATTTTTGTATTTTATTATTATAACCTTTATTAGAGATACAACATGATTTTTAGTTCATATATTTAATGAAATAATAATACTCATATGTATACATGTTGGCAAAATTCCAAATTACTATTGTTATAGAACGAATTAATTATTAGTTTATTATTTTATTATTTATTATTTATTAATTATTATCTTAGAATATT